GGCCCGTGAGCCGTGGCCGCTGGGCCTGTGCGTCTGGAGCCTGTGCTCCACAACGGGAGACGCCACAACAGGGAGAGGCCCGGGTACCAAAAAAAAAAAAAAAAGAAAAAAAAAAAAAAGATAGTGTTCCGAGGGATGAGTTTCCTTTGGGTTTTGGAAACGAACATCCCACAACTCCACACTGTAGCATATATCTCGGCTACAGATTCTTGCCTTGGGCCATTGCTATTTGATGGGGCCCAGTGAATCATGCAAAATCTCTCTTACTGAGTATGCTTAAATCTCAAATCAGCCATAGAGCTTATTATATCCTTGTTAAGCAGATCCCATGGTTTGTCATCAGCATGATCATTTCTGGTCCCCGCTCTACGCCTCTTTGGTTACTGAAAATGACTATGTAGTGCTTGTGAGCAAAAGCAGTAGAGACCCAGGCTAGCGATGAGCCCGGAAAACAGCACTGAGAGCTGTGGGCTTGGGGAGGAGGGCTGCTGTGGGGCAGTGGGCGTGGAGGGTGCCTGGGGAGGAGGTGCCCACCGTTGGGCTCTCAGGGATCTTTGAAGTATTTGTGGCTCACCTCCGTGATGGACGGAGGCCTACAAAATAGTTACTCAAGAGTTAGGGAGTCAGTGCTAAAATGCCAAAGATCTTCCCCAGTAATGAGGTCTATTTGGCGTGTGTGGTGGGATGGAGATCCAAAAGTGGGATGGAGCAGAGGCACAACTGAAAAGAGAGACTCATGTTCCAAAAGAAGCTTCTGCAATCAAATAGAAGTAGATGAGGCCTTGTGCCTCACAGGCAATGGGTTAGAGGCTCTCTTGGCTGGATTCCCACTGACGGACGGTCTCCTCTCTCTGCAGCTTCACCAGCACGCTGGCGCTCAACGACCCACTGCAGACCCTCTTCCAGCTCATGTCGGGGAGGATCCCACAGGCAGCCACGGTACCCTCTGTGACAGGACCCCCTCAACACCCCAGCACCCTAAGGGTTTAGGGGGTAGGGACTGCTCGGGAATGAGGTGATGGCTTTAGAGATGAAGAATAAGTAATTACTGTTGGTTAATCACCTCCCATGTGCCTGGCCCTGTGCTAAGCGCTGTGATGCATGTTATTTCGTTTAACGCACAGAGGTAGGAATGATTATCCCTGTTTTGCAGACGTGACGACTGAGTCGCAAAGGTGTAAAATGACCAAGATCACAGAGCTAGGAGTAGTGGAGTCAGGATGGGCCCAGGTCTGTCTGATTCCAAAGACTGTGCCCTTTCCACAATCCACGGCTACCTGCTGTGTGGCAAATAGTGAGAGAACCCGAGGCTGCTCTCCACGCTTCCCACAACCAGGCTTGCTTTCTTCCCCACCACTGCATGTGACCCTTCAAAGCTGGACGTGTTAGATTCTACGTCATCAGTGTGGGATGTGGCTCGGGAGAACCCTGAGGCCAGCTTGATAGTTTTCCCATTATAAGAGCATTGATCTTTTTGTCCCAAGGTATTCCTTCCCTATCCTCGAAGTCCAATAACTTTACTGAGATATATCTTGTTGTTGACTGTCTGTGTCAGTTATTCGGGGATACAGCATGCTCTTTTAATATGTGCATCCATATCTTACAGTTCCAGAGAAATTTCTTGAATTATATCCTTCAGTATTTATTTTGTTCTCTTAGTTTGGTTTCCTTTTCAGGAACACCCTCTATACACAAAATATATATAGTTCACATACATATATATATATATATATATATATATATATACATATATATATGTATGAACTGTATACATATGTACATGTGAATTATATATACAATTTTCTCTTTAATTAAAAAAATTTTTTTTTGGTTTCAATTCTTTCTTTCTTCTTTTTTGCTGTGTGTCCATCCTGTGTGTCCCTTACTGTGTTTTCATCAGTGTCTCTTGGCTTCTGTGCTTTTTCCATTTTTGTCTTTATTTCTTTGATTTTTCTCCCACTTCTCTCCTGAGCTCTGGAGGTCACATTTACCTCCTCCTGCTCTCCACCATCTCTTTCCTCTGCTCCTGTAACTTAGCTTTAGACCCTTGCTTCATAGAACAAATTGTTTCATTAATTTACTTAAATTCATGATGAAATGTTTGGTGACAATTCTTTGTTTTGTGGCAACATTTTTCTGGTGAATGTTCTCTCTACCTTCCCCCCTCCTTTTACCTTGATGGTATATTTGTAGCGATTCTGTACTTGTTCCTTCATAGGCTTCAGGTCTTCCCTGGATGAGTTATTTATGGGAGGTTTGAGCTGGGGAGGTGCCAGGGCCATATTCCAGGGCAGCTGGTATTTCCGCATGACCTGGTGTTTTCTGTGAGCCTCTTTGCTTCTCCCCAGCCAGTGGAGATGGCTGTGGGATCCCCTCCCTCTGGTGTTCTCTCTCTCTGCCTCCTAAACCCACCTCTGTTCGATCTCCATTACTTTTGGGAGCCTTTTCTTGTGTTTAGAGGCTTGGATTTTTGCCGACACCTAGTTTCAATGAAAATATACTTCACGCTTTTGCTTTTTTGTCTCTCTTATTGCTGTGGACAATTTCAAGAAAAGAAAAGGGAAATGATGACTTTCACGCCCCCTCGTCAAACCAGCTGGCTATACTGGAACATGGGGTGCACCTCACAATTCTGCTGAGGGCCTGTGCTCTGCAATGAAATTGTACCATGTCACAAAGCACTAAATGCAGGAAAAGATGTAATCAGCATACAGTCCATTGGGTCTCATTGCACTGGTAGAGTTTGCTAAATGTTCCCTACTCTTGGGTGAGAAAACCGAGGAGCCAGAGGTGATATTTGCAGTATTTGACCCTAGTGTTTGAGAGTTTCGTAGCATCGTAGCATCCTGTAAAAGGCTAGACTTTGGTACTTATAATAAGAGGAGTAGTGGAAAAAGCATGGCAGCCGGAAAACACAGACGTGGGCTTCTGTCACAGGCTTAACCTAGACTCTACTCCTCACTGTTGTGGGAACTGGGCCCTGCTACTTAATCTCAGAGCCTCAGCTTTTCTTCTTTGTGGGCATTTTGATGCCTAACAGAGCTACTGTAAAAATTAAAGGGGAGAGAATATCTGAACATATCAACCACCATGCTTGGCCCACTATAGTTAGTTAATAAGCGTTATCTCTCTCTCTTCTCCCTCCATAGACCTGCTTTACAGTGATTTTTTTCCCAAATCGTCTGGGGGAGGAGACAGAAGAATTACTTCTAAGCTTTTGTTCTTTTAGCAAGCGCTTTTCTTTTGCTAGTCCCTTTAGTTTCAGCAAGAAAGAGCCTGGCTCACATGTTAAAATGGGGATAATAATAGTACCTAATGCATGTGATTGTTCTTAGGAGAAATGCTTATTAGCACAGGCTGTGGCCCAGGGTCAGGGTGCAGTAAGTGAGAACTGCTGTTATTATTGTGATTTATTGTCATCATCGTCCTCATTCACACTGCATTGCCCAGATAAACAGAGTCACTATAAAATGGAGTTGGATAAAGCATCTTTTGTTCTATGGGATAATTACAAATACAATACCAAATAACTGTGAATTGTTTTGACCTCCAGATCTTAGCTATTACTGTCAATCTCCTGCTCTATCTTTTCAGTATAACAAATTGGAGGAGAGACTGGTCTGCAAATCACCTCTTTCCTTTGCTGTGCTTCTGTGTGTGTGTGTGTGTGTGTGTGTGTGTGTGTGTGTGTGTGTGTGGTGTGTGTTTGTGTGTGTGTGTGTATGTGTATTTATATACATGTAATTTATAAGGTGCAAACCAAGTGTAAGGCACTATGCTATGGGCTTCATCTAACTATATTATTATCAACAGTTATCCTGGGATGAAGTAAGAGAGTGGCATTGACATACATACACTACCAAATGTAAAATGGATGGCTAGTGGGAAGCAGCTGCATAGCACAGGGAGATCAGCTCCGTGCTTTGTGATGACCTAGAGGGGTTGGGATAGTGAGGGTGGGAGGGAGACGCAAGACGGAGGGGATATGGGGATATATGTATACATATAGCTGACTCACTTTGTTATACAGCAGAAAGTAACACAACATTGTAAAGCATTGTAAAGCATCTCCAATAAAGATGTAAAAAAAAAAAAATCCTGGCAGTTAGACATCATGATCTCCATTTAAGAGATGAAGAAAAAAAGGTTCAAAGACATAAAGAAACTTGCTCAAGAGGCAGGACCCCAGGTGAATCCAGGGCCCGTGTCGTTCTGTGACATTGTGTTGTTTCTTTATTGATATTCCCTGTGCTGAAATTCCCCTTCATTCAGGAGAATGGCGGCCCATCATTCGTGAGGGGCTTCTGCCTGCTCCCACTTCTCTGATTATACTCTACCGCCCCCTCGTGGAGCTCTGCTGCCTCTTCATGGTCACCAGAGGGAGGGGACACAGTGCTGGCTGGGCCACTTGGCCTGGTTTTCTCACTCCTCAAGAGGCGATAGGAATTAGAGTTCACAGGGTTGTTGTGAAGATTAAAGAAGGTGATGTGTGAGAGAGGGCTTTGGCTTTGTAAAACCAGGAAACATTAGCCATTTGGTAATAGGTATCAAGGAGCCCAGTGTTCCCCTGTCTTCTCACTGGCTAATGTGGACTCTTCCCATGAACCAAGGGTATTTGATCCTCCGTCTCCCACTGAAACATCAGTTGTTGTTTTTTTTGATTTTGTCCCTAGCTCTTGGGGTTAGGAGCACCAGGAGGAAATCTGAAAATTAGTGACCAAGAGTGTCATTCCATTTATCTATCTCCCAACATCCCTGTGTGTGTATGTAGGTATGTATGTGTGTATATGTGTCTGTCTGCCTGCCTATTCATCCTTCTAAGAGTTTTGCTTTTTTAAAAAGAGAACGCAAAATCAGTGAGTGGCCACATTGCCGGCAGCATAATGGGCATTCCCGGAAAACCAGGAAATAGACAACAACCTTCCTTCCTTACCTATATTCTGGTCAGGGCTACATTACTCAGTCAGTTTTCAATTTTTCTGCTGCTTTTCAGTGTTGTGGGGACGAGCAGTGGGGAGACTGGAGGCCGCACTTGGCTGTGATTCTGTCGAATCAAGGTGGGGACCCGGAGCTGTATCAGCGCACGATTGTCACCATGGGGGACACCCTGGGTAAGCAGACACCAGTTCCATCCCCTCCTCTCCTCTATTTCCAGGCCAGCTTTAACCACCCTGTGCTTAGATTCTTAGGTTCTGTGTTGGGCCTGAGTCTATGCCTCAGGCTTTCCTTTGACCCAGGAGCCTCAGTGTTTTCGAGACAGAAACTCCAGGGAGAGGGGTGTCCTTCTTGCCTTTCTGTTTCCCAGTTTTCCGCTGCGAGCCAGTGCAGGCCAGGCCCCTGAGACTCTGGGGTCTGCCACTGTAGGAGGCTCCCCTGAGTAGGTGATTCCTATGCCTGGGTCAGATTCCCGTGCACATGGAGTTAACACATGGGGGCATCTCGCCTACTGTTGTTGTTAGTCCCGTGGTGACCCAGCTTAACCAGATAGGAAATTCTATTTTTGCCTGAACTACCCTGGGTAATCGTATAATCTTTATTTCTATCACCTCTCTGTGAATGTGTCCTCATAAACACTTAGGGGCTGTTAAATGTTCCAGATGAGTGGTTCTCAGATTTGGTCAAGGGCCAGAACGTCTAGAAATCATCGCTTTGTGGCACTTCGTGAAATACTGCTCTGCTAAACTTAAAATAGCTACGTGTAAGATTGTGCCCAGTCAAATGGCAGGTTGTTCAGCACCTGGGTAGAAAGAGAACTAACTTTTGCTGAACCTTCTTGGGTGCCGGGCCCCATGCTAGTTACTTTACCTATTTGAATTAATTCAATGTTGAGGTCATGGAAAATGTATGGGAGAACATTTTAAAACTGGGAACAACTGGGTAATGAATGTAATTTTTATGATCACTGGGAAAGGTCTTCTATTGTTTGACTTTAGCAGGGGAGGCATTAGTGCCAAGAAGCCTAGTTTAAGAACTGCTACTCCCAACGGCCAGCTTCTCTGCTCAGGTGTAGGCATTTCTACCCATTTCTCCCTCTCCAGAAGGACTAAAATGCTTAGAAACGTCCTCATTGAAAATCCATTAGGGGGAACGTGAAATAGTGCCTTATTCTGGCTGAAGAGAAGTGAAATAATGTCGGAGGCCAAAAATGCGGTAGGAGAGGGAGTGGGGTTTGGGGTCTGTGACTCGTAGTGTGAAAAGCTCGTTCCTTTATCCCCATGAGGCTCTGCGCTCCGACCCCCAAGTCCCTCTCCAGCCCTCTCCCATCCGCCCCAGATGGTGGGTCCTCACGTAGGCGTGTTCCGTGACCGGGGCTTGTTCTCCTGCAGCTGGAAAGGGGCTGGTGGAAGCAGCTCACTTCTGCTACCTCACGGCTCACGTGCCCTTCGGCTCCTATACCGTGAAGACAGACCACCTGGCCTTGCTAGGCAGTAGCCACAGGTATGCGATCTTTTGGGGGAAAGGGAGTGGGAAGGACATCTTCCAGGGGATTGGTTTAGCCCTTGCTGGGCTTCATGGCTCCATTTTCCATTGTCTTGTGTGAATTTCGGCCACTGGGGGTCCCCTCCTCTGGGATGGTTTTCCACAGGTAGGCTCTGGCGGAGGAGATGCCGGGTGGGTGCCGCATCATACCGCCAGGGGGCCTCAGGTCCAGGCCCTGCTCCGGGGAAGCTGTGAACTGGTGCCTGTGGGTTGCATTGTACCCCTATGGCCACTCGGTGGCGCCCTGGCTCCGTGATCAGAGAGTGACTCTTTAGAAAATGCTTAGCGGGAGCGCGGCGGCTTGAGCCTCTGCGTCAGGCAGCTCTGGACCAGTTCTCAGAGCCCGCCTTGGGCAAAACCCGAAAGTGGAAGACGTTTGCCTAGCCACCACACCCTACACTGACTTGGGGCACAAGCTACTCAGTCCCGCCTGTCACTTATTCCCTGCTGGCCGTAGTATTAGGCTTTCACACAGAAGGACCTTAATAATCCCCTAGACAATGAATAGACGGACAAAAAGACCGGCTTGCTCTCTAGCTGCCCTCCACATTCTAGATCTCTCTTTCTCTTTTCCTGTAATAGTTAAGATTTCTTAAGCTCTTACATTGTGTGCCAGCCGTTTTATTTGCACTATTTCCTTTAATCATTACACATTTACCCTGTGAAGAATGTACGCTTTTAATCTTCACTTTATAGAGGAGGGAAACCAAGGCACAGAGAGGTTAAGTAACTTGTCTAAGATGGTACAGCTAGTGTGGGGTCAGGTTGGACTTGGAATCCAGACTGTCAGGCTTTTCTTTGTAGAAACGCATCCTCTCATAGCCTGTCTGTCAAGGTCACGGTCTCTGATAGCACCTAGCTGGCTTGTCAAAGAGGCCTGTCTGGGCCAAATGGAACAGTAAGTGAAATGGTTTAATGTGTCTCCCTCCTATGTTTATATTGTACGAGGATGTTTCTGGAGATACAGTCCTGATCCCAGGCATAGCCCCCGTGATTATGATTTCAAACCTCACAGCAGCTGTTTTGGGACCCGTGAGGACTCTGAGGGCCCCTCAGATCACGTTCACCCAGCCTGCTTCCTCACTGGAATGAACCTCCAGCACAGGGACCGTCTTCTGATTTGGGGCTCCGCAGTGCTACCCTCTCTCTGCCGGGCCTTCTTTCTTCAGTGCTTCCGAACATCACATCACTCCCTCTTTTCTGCTCTTCTGCTCAGGCTATGGTGGCCTCACCCAGACACCCGCTCTGGGTTCTCAGGGCACTAAGGCTGGCTCTCAGCGTGCTTACGGGGAGGACCCAGTGCCCCACTGAGCTGGGTGTGAGGGCAGCTTGCCTTACGTGACCCTCCAGTAAAGATGGCAGTGATCTCCCCCTCCCCCCAGTCTCTCCCCCCCACCTGCCCCCAGAGCCTCTAGAGGTGCAGATTCTCTTTCCTCCCTTGGCGCTGTCCCA